GGACGTTGAGACTGGGAATTTCTTTATGCATGAAGATGGGTTCCAGAAGACTCACAGGGAGGCATGCGAAGGAGGCCTTCAGCTGCAGGAGGATGCAGGCGAAGAGTAATCATGTGAGGTTGAACTAGTCAAGGACCTGAAAGACTGAATGGGTTTTTTCAGTAGCACATTGTCCTTAGTCTGGATCAGTGTTCTCTCCATGCATATGACAGAAAAAAAAAAAAATGAACCCAAAGTTGGTGAATTGGGCTAATTGAGAAAGTAAGGTATAGTCCAGTTTAATGAAATAATTTATGTAGTCTGGGCGAATAGGTAAAACTTGATAGTTCACAAACACATGAATTAGAATGTCCATTAAAATTTGCATGGCATCAGTATTGCTGCAGCTGAGGTTACTGAGAATCTAGGAGGGCTTCCTTGCATCATATTTGTTGGCTTCAGTGATGAGGCTCACCAGCACCGTACCGTCCCTTCATCCATGTTGATTCATCTTGAAAGTCTTGGTTCTTCATAATTTTAAGGTTGTGATAAAGAACTTTCTGGAACAATGTGGAATGTGAGATAGGTTTTCTGATGCAAGAAGTCCCTGGGGAAATGTGATTCTCTACCATATGGTGGCTGTCATGTTTTTAGCATACTAAAATTTAAAAAAAAAAAGCTTGGAGTATTCTGTTTATTTATCTCATCTACTGAACTTCAGGAAAATAAGGAAAAAATGCAAATTAATAGCTTGAAATGATTTTAAGTAGCTAGAATTCCAGCTGTTAGTGCAATAGGAGAGAACTTATATGAAACCGTGTAATAGCGTATTAGTGTACACAGATGAATAACACAGTGAGGAAGTGCTTATTTTATGTTGTTCCAGAGGCTTCTGAAAATGAGAAAGAATTCTCTAATAATCCAAACTCTCAATTCTGTTTGGAAAATGTTTCAGACCCTTTCTGAAAAGGTGCTAGATTTAGATCCTCTGTAGGTATATTAGTTCCCCAGGGCAGCTGTGACAAATTACCACAAACTGGGTGGCTTAATACAATAGAAATTTATTCTCTCACAGTTCTGGAAGCTAGAAATCTGAAGTCAAAGTGTCAGTAGGGCCATGTTCTGTCTGAAGGCTCTAGGAGAGAATCTGTTCCTGCCCTTCTCTTAGCTTCTGCTCTTGCTGGTAATCCTTGGCGTTCCTTGGCTTGAAGACACATCACTTCAATCTCTGCATTGGTAGAGAACACCTGGTTTTCTCTCTGTGTGTCTGGCTCTTCTCTTTCTATAAGGACATCAGTCATACTGGGTTAAGTATGACCTCTTCTTAACTGATTATACCCACAACAACCCCATTTCCAAATAAGGTCACATTCTGAGGTTCTGGGAAAGACATGAATTTGGAGGGGACACTATTCAACCCAATACAGGAGGCTTCTAAAATGAATAGCAAATGGCTTCTGTCTTCAGGAAGATGTAGCGCCTACTGTGGTTGGGAAAACTATAGTGCAAAGCAATGTGTTCAGTTGGTAATGGATACAGAATACCATGGGGTGAGTGATTGGTTGTGACTCCAGGGTAGTCATGGAAGGCTTTAGGGTAGAGGTAGTGGCAGACCTGAAGGATAACAGTGTACTCGCTGGTAGAGAGGGGGAGGCTGGGCCTTCTGGGCTGAGGGTCTCATCTGAGCAGGCACAGAGATGCAAGTGTGCATCCACTGTGCGAGATGCCCCAAACGCCTGGAGTGTATGGCTAGAGGATAGCAGGCCTTTGGGTAGTGGTTGCATGTGTTGAGTGGCCATTGGGAGGGGATGGAGAAGGGAGGAGGGATGAAGTACAGGTGGAACAGAGGGGGATAAAAAAGGTCATGGAGGCCCAGTTGTTCATGTCCATGAATGACAGCCAGAATGGGATCTTAGAGATGTAGTAGTTAAAGGGGGAGTTCAAGGAGAAGCGGAATGAGTGTTCCTTAGGGAGCTCTGGAAGGCATCACTGGACTCAGAGGGCTGGACTAGATGACATCTGTGCTCCCTCTCAGCAATCAGGTTCTCTGACAATTAGGTAGAAGTATCTTTCACTAATATCTTGCCTTTTTCACTGGTTATTATGCTCTTGCTTCCTCCTTCTTTCTTCCTATCAAGCCTCTTCCCCATGCCAGGCACGGGAGCCACAACAGTGAACAAGAAGACAAAGACAGCATTATTTTAATCTCTTCCCTGTGGCATTAGCACAAGGAGTATGTAGTAGGTTCTCCTTAAGTGTTGCTTTGAATTAAATATGAGTGAGGAAAAATGACAAGGCAGTTTTGCCCTGGGTAATAAGTTCTTCTTCAGAGTAGAACTGCTTTGAAAGATGATCTCAGGAACCTCCTTATGAACAGGTGGAGAGTAGGTGGCTGCTTACATGTGTTTGATTTCTGAGTCATCAAAAAGGCTCCTTTGCCTCCTAAAATATCTGCTTTATCCAGGCTGTGGGTACTTTTAATTCCACCTTAGAAACAGGTTGGTTTCTCTGTTGAAATGCAGATGCCCTCTGGAGAGAGGATATCCATTTACCCTCATCAGTCTTTTGCACCTTAATATGGGGGTTTTCTTAGCTTTTCCTGCATGGCAGTTTTTAAAGAAAAGCACTTGGGGGGAAAAGGGGACCCAGGAAAGGAGTACTGGACAAGCCAAAGATAAACTTTGTCAGAATTGACCCTGGGGATGTGGTCTGTTGGCCTAGAAGAATCCACTGTTATTTATTTGCTGGTGTATGTTGGACAAGAAGTGATTATTTCTTTTCTAAGTTTTATGGCTACAGAATTGTTGTTTATTTGTTTTATTTTTTAAAAGGTGCAATAAACCCCACCTCCCCAACCCTCACCTTAACAAAAATAATTTGTGTGGCAGCCTGATCTGTGGTCTTTACTGACAGGCTCAGCTACATACGGTCTGTGCGTTCACATGTCAGGGAAGGCTAATAATAGCTACTGTACCAAATATCCCCTGAAGTTTCAGTGGCTTATTTCAGAGGTTTCATTGTTCATCCACATCATAATATGATTCACATTGATTGGTGGGGACAGGGTATTCCATCCACGTAGTCTTTCAGGGACACAGGCTTCTTCCATATTCTATGTCCACCATCTTTAATACTTGTCCTCAGGGTCTCACTAGCCTCATCTGGAAGGCATGCCAAGGGGAAGAGAAAGCACACTTACTCTTAACTGCCTTGACTTGGAAATGACACACATTTTGCCTCATAGCCATTGCTGAGAACCAGTCTCAGAGACCCACCCAGATGGGAAGAGGCTGGGAGACGTCGTTTAGCTGGGTGTTCAGGAAGAGGAAGCAGCCTTGGTGAGTCTCTGACACAGGCTTATCAGAAAGCATTTACACATTTTCCTTCTGTCTGTAACATAAACTGACCCTTGGGGGTTGTTACTAAGGGAACAGGGGACAAGAGAGACTAGCAGTGACCTGGAAACTGTCCAGTGTTTAGAATGGTGTAAAGTCATTCATTCTCGTTGGTGAAGGAATCATCCTGCTGTTGGATTATTGCTGTGTAAGGGAGACCAAAGTTATGGTGCCAATAAATGTCTATTTTGTGTGCTTGTTTATTTGTTTGTTAATCAATGTAGGAAAAGCTAATGGAAATCTCCCTTCCCTACACCTTGGAATCACTTTGGAATAGGAATTTTGCGGTTCTAAATGCAGTGGCTTCTGTGATTTTAGCATTTCCTCTAGTCCACTTCCCTCATTGTCTAGATGAGAGAGGCAATAGAATTGTTCAAATTCACAGAGCAAGTTAGTGGTTTACTTGCATCTCAAACCCTGTTTTCCAGATTTCTACTCTGATGTTCTTTTCACTACCACTATTCCCTTAGAGAATCACTATTTGGAGAAGAGACCTGCCTTGGCTGGGTCTGCAGAATGGCAGGAGGCTTGACCAGCCGAAATCAGAAGTTTCCTTCTAGCTCAGAGATTCCTTGATTGATTGTGTTTAAATATATGGTGTCTGATTGTATAATCCCTGGCCTGACGGGAGTGATGTAGCTTCAAAGAATTTGTTTCCTGAGAAAACAGAATCTTAGTTCTTTATTTTCTCAGCCGTTTCTTTAGTTCATTTTTATCTTTTTTTAATAAAACTGTTTGCTTTTTAAATATATATATATTTTTCTAACTGTTAAAGTAATAATTTCAATTATAGAAATTAAATATATTCAAGTGTAACAAAAATATATACAAATATAACAAAAAAATTTCCTGTAATTCTGTAACTCGACAATGCATTGGTAACCACTATCAATATTTTACATTTCTCTCCATGTGTTTCCTAGCCATTTTTTGAACACATAAATACTTGTAAACTTATGTACAGTATAATTAGAATGAAATACTATACAATATGAAATAAATATACAGTTCTTAAAATATTTCATATTACTGGGTATGAAATATTACATAACCCTTAAAATTGTTTTAAAATAGTAAAGATATGAAAAATGCTCATATATATTTGTATACTTATCATAATAATTAGAATTAGAATAAAATTATAATTTTTTCTTGTTTGTTTTGTTTTGTTATCTGCTTTTTTTATAAAGATTTTTTTTTTATTTATTCATGAGAGACAGAGAGAGAGACAGAGGCAGAGGGAGAAGCGGGCTCCCCGCGGAGCAGGGAGCCCGATGCGGGACTCGATCCCAGGACCCTGGGATCATGACCTGAGCTGAAGGCAGACGCTTAACCGACTGAGCCACCCAGGCGTCCCTGTTATCTGCTTTTTAATGGAAGTAGAAAAAAGCAAATCAAAATCTCCCTTTCATATATCTTGGAATAAAATTCTAATTATATTGTGCATGACTGTGTCTGAGCATTTCTCCATATCGTGACTTATTTTAAAACATTTTTTAGAGGATTGCATACTGTTGCATCTTGTGGAAATACACTATGCTGAAGGAAACAGCCCAGGTGGGGAGGAGGCAAGGAGTAGTAGTATCTTTGGTTCTTGGCCCTAATGCTCTGCTCCTCTTTTCCCAGGGCATCAGCAGCTTGTTTAGCTCACTGAAGGTCGTTCGGCTGCTTCGTCTGGGGCGAGTGGCCCGTAAGCTGGATCACTACATTGAATACGGAGCTGCCGTGCTGGTCTTGCTGGTGTGTGTGTTTGGGCTGGCTGCTCACTGGATGGCCTGCATTTGGTACAGCATTGGGGACTACGAGATCTTTGATGAAGACACCAAGACCATCCGCAACAACAGCTGGCTCTACCAACTGGCGATGGACATTGGCACCCCTTACCAGTTTAACGGGTCCGGCTCAGGGAAGTGGGAAGGTGGCCCCAGCAAGAATTCCGTCTACATCTCCTCGTTGTATTTCACTATGACCAGCCTTACCAGCGTGGGCTTTGGCAACATTGCCCCATCCACAGACATTGAGAAAATCTTTGCGGTGGCCATCATGATGATTGGCTGTAAGTATGACAGTTGCTGGGGCTGGGTGGGGGATGGGCGGGAGGCATACTGTTTGGACATCCCTTCCATTGGCTGGAAATAGGGCAGTGACTACAATGCTAGCAGGATCAGGATCAGTGTAATAACTGAAATTAAGAAAGGCTTTTTTTTTTTTTTTAAAGATGAGCTTTACAGTTTTCCTGATAATTTAAGCATTTGCTGCAAAGTGTTTACTGCAAAGAAATTTAGAAGATACAAAAGAGCACCAACCATAATTGTGCCTATCAGAGATAACTATTATTACCTTTGGCCTCTCCCTTATAGATTACTTTCTATCCATATCTGAACACATAAATACAGATTTTTATAAAGTTATAATGAGATCATGCTATATTTATAACTTGGTAACCTGCTTGCTCATAGAATAGTGAACTGTGAAAGTCTTTCCGTGTCAGTTTGAACATAGCTCTAGATTTGCGCAGTCCCATATGGTACCAGAAAAAGAATGTATGAAAAAAATGTGAGATATCTCATTAACTATCTTTTATATTGATTACATGATGAAATGATATTTTTATATAGTGGGTTAAATATTCTATTATGATCAATTTCATATTTCTTTTAAATTTTTGTAATGTGGCGGGGCGCCTGGGTGGCTCAGTTGGTTAAGCGACTGCCTTCGGCTCAGGTCATGATCCTGGAGTCCCGGGATCGAGTCCCGCATCGGGCTCCCTGCTCAGCAGGGAGTCTGCTTCTCCCTCAGACCCTCCCCCCTCTCCTGCTCTCTCTCTCTCAAATAAATAAATAAATAAAATCTTTAAAAAAAATTTTTTTTTGTAATGTGGCTCCTAGGAATATTTTTATTGAATTTTCTATTTTTCGTACATTTTTGATGTCCCAAATCCAAAAAACAAAACAACCGCCCCCCCCCCCAAGAAACCTCCCCCACAGAACAAAAAGGCTCCTGTTTAGTTGAGAAGTAATGGGTTATTGGATTAACTTGACTGGACTGAAAAACAAAAACAATCTTAGTTCTTGAGGAAGGTGCTTCAATCTGTCACTTACCCATTGACCATTGCGTAGCTGTTGCTAATGCCGGATCTGGGCTGGAAACCATTAATGAACTCTCTTCATTGAAGGGAGTCGTAGGGAGAAGTAGACCTCACTGGGCTGGGGAAAGCATATGCATTCCAATGGCTTGGATTCATTGTGAACTGCTAAGTGCACCCTGTTGGCACTTCAACCACAAACGGCGATGTGGGCGAGGACAGTCCTCCCATGAAGCATCAGTATGGACAGGAGTCTGGTTACACACGATGAAGCTGGGCTCTGGTTACAGCAGGCAGAGACTGTTTCGCTCCTTGTGCTCCTTCAGAGTGGAGTTGACATATCAGTTGTTAAACTAACCAGGGAATTCCAAGACCAGGAAACGTGAGGCGTCAGTTTGTCTTGCTTTGTTCAACCCACCAGGGATCCAGCATCCCTCTCTGTGAAGGGGCTTTATGACCCCCAGTTGTCACATTGGCTGCTTGCCTCCTCCTTGTCTGCAACCAGCTCATCGTGTCTGATGCGGTTTTTCCATAGGAGCCGTCTCTGCAAGGCACAGAGCTCGCCTGAGTATTCACTCAGTGTGTCTAGATCTAATTGATTTGTGGGAAAGTTGTGCTGATGGAGCTTTTGGGTTTGCTTCTTACTTTCAAATGGGTCTTAATAGAGATGATTGCCTGACCATGGGAAGCAGCATTAAGTATCTGTGGGTGGCTAATTGCTTTAGCTTAATTAGACTTGAGGTGCTTTCTCATGTCATGTAAAAGGATTTAAGACCTTCGCTCTTCTAGGACAGTTTCAGCCTTAACTGCACTAGTTTTCTAGATAGTGCTTGCAGCATTTTTGTGAAACTTGGGGCACCAGGTAAGCGACCAGATGTGCCGTGTTCTGGGCCCAATTTCTGCCTCTAAGGTGGGGAGAGGAGACATTCCATCGAAATACCTCATGATATGCATTGCAGGAAATCTGCTAAGGGTGGTCAGTTAGGAAATGGGCCCCATGTCATGGGCTCTCCAAAGACTTTCAGATATGAGGAGACTTTGTTGCAACTTTTTACCTGGAAGAAAAGAAGAAAGAGAATGGTTCTGGTGGCATATAGTAAAGATAAGCAGGGGCGCCTGACTGGCTCAGTCAGTTGAGCATCTGACTCTTGATTTAGGCTCAAGTCATGATCGCAGGTTCGTGGGATTGAGCCCCATGTCAGGCTCTGTGCTCCGTGGGGTCTGCTTGTCCCTCGCCCTCTGCCCCTCCCCAACTCGTGCACACCTGCACACTTTCTCTCTCTCTCTTTCTCTCAAATAAATAAATAAAATCTTAAAAAAAAAGATAAGCAGTTTGTTTTTCCAAAATCATTCTTGTATGGAGAGTATGATTTCCTGGGTATATTCTCCAAGGAAAACCTCGAACGATTATTATCACCTCTTTTCTCTCTCTGTCTTCTCAGAGCTTTATGATATTTCCATTTCTTTTTTAAAAAAGGGTGACAGTACACAGGCAGTCTCCTCTGCATTATGCAACCAAGCGTCATGTTTCAGTAGGCAAGCCTACTTAACTGTAACCCCATTTCCCGAACACTCGTTACGTGCCAGGTGCTGTGATGAGCGCTCCATACATGATTGCTGCTCATAACCACTCTGTACTTAGAGGTTATTATCTCCATCTTGTAAGGAAATGGACTGAGAAAGGTAACTTCCTTCCTAAGAACGGGGGGGCTGGTAAGCGGGAGAGACAGGTTTTGTTTGGATCCAGGCCCCTGTGAATTAAAAGCCAGGCTCTTCCCATAGAACCCACCTGCGATCGTGTGGTCTGAGAACACAGACGGCCAGCCTCGGGCCCTGACTCACAGACACCTTGAAGATTCTCTCCATCCATTTTAACAAGCCGACAGTTCCTTCAGTGGAAAGTTTTGTATGCTTGTTGTTGTTGTTGTTTTCATTTAAGAACAAGATTAAGATACAGACTCAGGGGACCAGGTGCTTTGGAAATCAGCCATTTTTCATCAATCTGTCACTTACAGTTACAGCTGTTCCACTCCGTGTGACACGTCTGACAAATGGTTGTGCTAACAACAAAGTTATTGCGCTCCGTGTAATGTGGTGGCAATTATCCTTATAAACTCGCATTCTAAACAACCTTTGTTCAGGACAACTGCTGATGTCTTACTGGATTTATGGGGCTCTCTTTTATCTTGCTTTGCCTGTGTGTGCACATCTGCACACGTGCATCCCTACCGCACGCTCACGGGGTTGGACCGATGCCAGAACTGGGATCTCTGGTGGGGGGGAGGTGGACCACAGCCTGCATTTGTGCCGAGGGGTCATGCTGCTCCCTGGCACTCAGGCCCAGAAGTCCTTGAGGAGTAGAGAGAGACACAAAAGCCAATGGGCTTTTGAAGTAATGGTATTTTGTGAATTTTTCTTCTTTGCATTGAGTTTTACATGTGTTGGTAATAGTATTTCTTGGCTATTCTATGACATTGTATTAACCATAATATAGATTATCCAGAAGGCTTCTGTTGATTCTCATCTCTGCTCTCTGGCACTGAATATCTCATTATAACTTGGCCAGTTCCCCGGAGAATGCCAGGAAGCAGGAACACTATTTTCAAGCTTGCCCACCTTTCTCAGTTCTGATAAAAAGTTGCAGGGGCACCTGGGTGGCTCATTTGGTTAAGCATCTGACTCTTGGTTTCGGCTCAGATCCTGATCTTGGGGTCGTGAGATGGAGCCCTATGTTGGGTTCTGTGCTCAGTGGGAAGTCTGCTTGAGATTCTCCCCACCCCTCCACTCTTTCTCTCTCTCGCTCTTTCATATAAATAGAAATCTTAAAAAAAAAAAGTTGCAATAGGCAGAGGCGAAAACTCTTGGCTAAAATGAGTTTTTGTGAGTAGCTGTGGAGGTAGATGATCTATGATGTCTCATTTTTATTCTAGCATCTTGACCCCGGCCAGGGGCAAGCCAGCCCCCACCCTGATCTCCTTGCCTTCCTCATGTGGGTCTTTAGTCTCCTGCAGGGGCTCGCCATGAGATGTAGTGAATGGACTGCTTACATCTTTTTGCACATCTTCTATGTGCTGGTGGTGCTGAGAGGACCCCAAGGCCACCCTAGCCCTCTGTGTGATACCTGGGAAGAATGTCCCCCATTCAGCAAGCACGTACCCAGTGCCTGCCCAGCATACTCCCAGCTGTGTGCTAAGGACACATATACTGTGGGAGGCACTCTAGGGAGTCCAAGGGCTGGAGGGGATGGGGGCAGTGGGAGGAAGAGAGACAGGTCCCATCACCCACCAGCTGGTGACTGGCCCTCTGTGGGCCCAACCTTGCCCAGGCCTCTGAGGGATCCCTCAAAGAAGGAAGGATTGTCAGGATTGTCAGGAGGAAAGAGTCTCTTTATCTGGGATGTTTCAGACTAGGGACTGTCTTGGGGAGCTCTCCAGGGAGAATTTGATGGTGAGGAGACAGTTTCCATTTTCCTAATATGGGCTTTTGCACTTTTCTGATTCTTTCCTCATAATGTCATTGCTGTCATCCTGTCATTGTAATTAAGCCACATTCATTTCCTTTCCCTCTGATAATGGCAGGGGGTCTAGACATTGTACTCCTACTCCAGACACTCTCCAACCCCTCCCCCGCAGTTGAACATCGGTCTCCTACCTCAGCACCACACACCTGTCTCTTTGGATTCATTTCTCTGTTGCCAGTCCTCCCCTACCTCAGCTTCTCACAACCACAGCAGAATGTCAGTGCAGAAGGGACCCTATGAGTCTCCATTTAGCCCACAGCAGCCCTCCTTCTAGTTCTTCTGCTGGGCCAGATCCCCTCCTGGTCCTTGTTTCAGTTAAGCTCCCTCTGAGCCCGGGAGATACCCGAGAGTAACTGGGCTCACTGCTGGTGGCTTCCTTACATCGCCTTCTCTCCTGGGGAAGGGACACTAGTAACCTGCACACTTGGACATTTGACCCCACCACCTCACC